CACAAAGAATGGATACATATCTAACCATTGATTACTATCGTTTCCCGGACCCCAAACAGGTAGTCGACACCTACCAACATGGCTCAGTCCAAAGGTCAGTGACTTCATGTTTTGGTTTGACCGCCCCTAGCTTTGTTCCAACCTATTCCTACGTCGCAAACCATAGATCGACGAGGCAGTCGGTTGTTAGGCATACGCAACATATGTCCCAGACACCTCAACTGTTAAAGTTTCAATACTTCATCAACTGATCTGCCATCCTCACCCAACACCCGTTCCCTAACGACAGCTTTGCTTACTCGGTTGTCCCAAAATACACGAGCAATGCTTCGCAGATACGTATGATCAAAAACCAGCAACCTCTGAATATATTCTACACTGAAGGCTATGTTTCGCAGCCATTAAGTAGGATGGGGCGAACTGCTTCACAGTACTCCCGTCCTTTGATTAGCATACGGATTTCGTGCCTACGTTATAAGTGACGCAAGTCATAACCAGATCCCTTACACGGTGTGTGCATCCGGCAGTAACATCTGCAATTCTCTTAGCAGTAGATAAGAACCACAGGTTCAGAAAATTGGTATATGTGCATGGTTGGAAGAACCATAGTACAAATCTATTATTATCTTATAGATTACGACTGAACGCTTCGAAATCTAGATGCCATCTGAAAAAATTTGCATTACATTTTAGTATCCTATACGTGGTTGGGCAAGCTTTTGGAGTCTTTACTAGTGTATGTATTTCGGCTAGGCGTATTAAGTATAGTGTTATAATAGAGTGGTGTTCATAAACTGTGCTCCAGATTGTAAGGTACAATGGTCTATACATTGTATCAATGTGATATTAGTGTGAGAATAGTAAGTCGTTTGTAGACGATTCCTTTGTCCAGTTCGTAACTTCAAGTCAACACTCCGTCGGATACTACTACTGACAGACAATGTTACAAGTAGTATTCACCACTTATCTTCGAAAATCAATAAATAATATAGTCAGAGACTTTTTTTCAACAAAGTAAATATTTACTTACACAGCAAAATTCATGTGAAATAATTCCACATGTTAACTTCGGCATAAACATACATCCAATCGTTTGAATAAAAGCCATCATCATACTTACGGCATGCAGTCAGTTAACATGCAAACATTGAGCGAAGATAACATATGTTCACTTGTCGACGCTTATCACATGTGAATAAGTTGTGCAGTTTGTTAAATATATATATATATATATATGTATATACATAATAAGATAGTTGTTTTGCTGACATTTATTTCAAACTGATAACTTGTATTTTATTTGTTTTAATCGGCTTATTTATTGAAGATTGAAATTGAACAAAAAGTTGTTGATTACGTCAATTTTGGTGTTTATCAAAATAAACACAAATCATTCTATCAAAAATAAAATTATGATTATGTAATTGCTAACTTACGTGATTGTTGTTTATACGACTGAAATGCCAAAGAAACTAACACCAGATGGGAAAGATATGTAATTTGGGATGATAAGCCTATTACCTCTACTAGAGCATTGGCTGCCGATCAGTATTCTCCCGTTTACTCTGTCCTGGAACTTTGTTTTCAGTTATATCCAACTGTTGATCATTCTTCCCATGTCTGTTTGCATCCGATTCTCGGTGTTATGTGTTTTAAAGTCTTACTTTCTGCCTTTGGCTTTGAAGATTTAAGTAGACCTAGATTTTAATCGTGTATTTGCTAATTCAGCAATACAAGTACACTATAGAGTGTCTACTATAATTCCTCTTCTTGTCTTGCGAAAACACTTTGATCATGCCACTCACTTTTATGTTATGATAGTCTTTCCTCTTGTAGCAACTACTAAGGGAGACTTTCTGCTGCATACTACTTATAAGCCGACTTTTGAGTAGTATGCAGCATACTGGTGATTCCATTCTGAGTGTAAACCTCAAGTAATCGAATGCTGACTTGTGCATTTTCAACAAGCCAGCTATAATGAAATAGTGAGGTGGTCAGATGTGGTCAAAACCAACCAAACTGCAACTGACGGTGAAGCTTTGGGAGAGTTAAAGCCCTTAACATATCGAAGCAGCAAAACTGATCAGCAAGGAGGATATGATGCACATGTGAAGGTGCGGATCGGCAAAACCAGAGCACCATTTCTACAATTGAAGATCATTCTAAACTCAAAACAACTATCTACCGACAACCAAAGTCACTATTTTCAATACAAATGTTAAGAGAGTTCTACTGTATGTGACGGAAGCTTGGAGAACTACGAAAACCCTCATTCAGAAGATACGAATGTTCATTAACGATTGTCTACGCAAGATACTTCGGGATGCATTGGCCAGACACCATCAGCAACAAATTACTATGGGAGAGGAAAAATCAGATTCCAGTGTAGGAGGAAATGAGGGTGAAGTGCTGGAAGTGGATAGGACATACATTGAGGAAAGCATCCAAATGCATCAAAGTTCAAGCCCTCATTCGGAATCTTCAAGGCTAACGGAAAATTGGAAGGCCAAGGAACACATTACTCCGAGAAATGGAGACACATATGAGAAGAATGAACGAAAATTGGACAGAACTGGAAGGGATAGCCCAGGACAGAGTAGGTTGGAGAACGTTGGTGGGCGGCCTATGCTAAATTGGGAGTTACAGGCGAACAAACTAAGGAAGAAAGCAGATATTCACAGACAAGTATTTGTAGATATTATTGGGTAGATAAATAGATTTTCCATTCCACTATTGAGTTCCCTCTCAAGTAGGCAGTTTCAACTATTACTTCAAGTCTCAGAAACTACACATTTTAACATAATACGTTCGCTCATATGAGACTTTTCAAGTGCATTGAAAGGGGATAAATAAAAAAGCAAGGCGGTATTTTAATGACTCTATTTATTTAACTCAATTAACGTAGTATGTCAACATTTAAAATCCGCCAGCTTCTAAACTACCAATCACAACATCAGTAAAACAAAACATTTGACCTTGTAAACTCATTTATTTATGTTCTGTTATAGATCAAAATGTGAGGTCAAATGGCATTATAAATGATAAATCTCATATGAGAAATAAATAAGACATTTTTGAAATCGCGAATCGATTCATGTTAGACTACTAATAATCTCCATAACTCCATAATGCAAATTACCTGTGCTCACTAGTGACTAGCTCTGTAAGGAATCTCCGAATTCTAATGAGAAGTCGTGACTAGTGGAGTTCACCTCCGTTCAATTGTGAAGCACTGCTCACCGAAGACAGTGGATGAGGTTGCGCAAGACCGTGAATCGATCGAAGTTACACATTAGCACCGTTAGATGCTGGATCAGTGGTCCAGAGGTTAAGCATTCTCAGAATAGACTGAAGGCCCTGGGTTCGAATCCTACAAGTGTCAGGAGTCGTCAACGCGCACTGCCATGGATGAGTCCCATACGATCGTGCAGGCATGTGTGTGTACGCTATGCGCGAGTACCAGTGGAGTTAGACCGTGTCAGGTGTGAGACAGTTACTAACTGAACATAATGGATGAGGTCACACAATCTCGTGGACTGAATGCAGTTACTCATTAACACCTCTTGACACAGTCTCAGTGGTCTAGATATTCACCGACAGTGATCAAAAACGAAGTCCTTGTTCTCAAGTCCAGTGTGAAAGTCGTTTATGCTCACTGTTGATGAGTCGCGTACTTTAAAACGAAAAGGCCTTCCAGCACTTAACAGTTTATCTCACGACAGTCTATTCATGATTTCAATGATACTATTTTGTAATTTTCCCACTCAGTTCTATTCTCAGTAAATCTTAAAAATCAATTTTCTTTCAACTACCTTTCTCCTAATGTTTATCAAAACTTTTCATCAGAGAAAAAAACGACTGATTTTCAACCTATTACAAAATGATTCTAAATATTTTTTCAAAGAACAATCTATGAATAATGAATATCGGTATTCATTGATTTGTAGATTATTACCAGTCTGAAAATTATTTTAAGTCAAAGATTGCTACATAAGTAAATCACGAAAATTCCTTATTTAATCAGTACCATGTACTTAAACAAATTACATTAGATCGAAGTGTTACGCCTGCACGTAACACGTCATTTTGATATGCTTGAACTATGACGAGTTTACCCCTTAGTCGGAAAACGAAAGCGAGGATCCAGTGACACGACATGCTACCCCGAATCCGATAATCCCAAACCCCATACTGAAGAAAAATAAGAAGACAAGACTTGATATGAAGTAAAACCTGTATTCTACAAGCATTCAGAAAGTACGAGGTCCGAGTCTAGAAGAGAATCAGGATCCTGGACTAGGGATCCGAGACCGGGTCCTGGTCCTGGTCATAGAACGTTACAGATAATGCGTATTTATACATTTGAGTCAAATAGGAAACAACATCGAAGTGTTTGACATTGACAGTTAAGATGACCAGCAAGAAGTAACATTTAGAGTGACACTGATAGTCAGATGGAGAGTTAGCGGCACTTACTCTTCATCTCAAAGTATAACCATGCATTTATAGCCACTTTCGGTGAACTCCTACTCAATGCCTTCTCATAGCAGAGATGTTTTTTACAAAATCTAGAGAATGTAAGTGAATGTTCAGTGCCTAAATCAAGTTGGTAAGTAAGGATGATCCAGTCGGATGAAATGGAAAACCTTTATTCCTAAACCAATGGTTCATCAAAGCTCCATGATCCTCAGCGAACAAACTGCTTATGAATCTAGTGTTAGTGACTAGTTAGCGTCGGACTGCATCCGCAGGTGTTGCTTAATTGCTTTGTGGAATAAACCCGCAAATCTTGATGAGTGGCCAACATGTCAGTATCCTAACCAACTCACAAAGTCAGTCACCTCTGTGGAGCACAAACATTTCGGCGCCACATAACTCTGATAGCACATTTTCTCAAATAAATAAACTTATTCACTGTACAATCTTATTCTAACTTAAAAAAAATTATCACTTTAGGTTAAATATTTGAAATAACTAGTTCACTCTGTTTGTTCTTACAGTTAAAACTACAAGATGATGAATTTTGGAATCCACGTCTATTGATCGATAATGCGGAAGGTGAACCAATTGAAATTATCAGTCATGAAGTAGAATTTGTTGAACCAGACTTTGAAGCGTATCTTGTGGAGAAACGACGTATTAAAGGTATTTTTCATGAAACTTTGGAATTAAGACACTTTCCATTTGATTGTCAGGTAATTAACTAACTGTATACTTAATTAATGTGAATTGTTAAAGAGTAATTTTTTGATTGTATGGTTTGTATCAGTTAATTGTGTCCTGTTCAGTCATGGGGAATTCTAGGAGTTCTAGTGAGAAGTTGTGTTCAGTGGAGTTTAAACATGTCGCGTGTGAGGCAGTTTTAATAGCTGAGGTGGTAAGATGTCATGGATTGATTTGAGTGACATATCAATGCCTCCTAATGCCAAATTAGTGGTCAACAAGACCGGCACTCATATGTGCAGGTCATTTATGTGCACTGCGAATGGGTTCCACACTGAGACGAAGTGGGTGCACCAATGCTTCACGGTTTATCTCATGGCAGCCTAACATCGGTCGTTTCATGGTTTCAATGACTCTCTTCAAGTTCCATGATTCCTCAATAATCAATAGCTGTGACCTTTCAAATAATTTATTTTCGATTTTAACTCCTCGGTCCTAAATTAAATTATTCATATTTTCAACTTCAATACATTCATGCTACTAGATAATCTTTTTAGACATACCGCCAAAAACCTTCAAAATTGAACGGAATCAAAACGAATTAAATTATATTGAGAAGATTGAGGCAGGCGAGGAAGATTGCATCATGCAAATTTACACTCTGAGTCAGTTAAAAACGAAAACATTACATTGAATACTCCATTTGCTCACCATCTTTGAGTCGTGGACTTCCAACGCTCCATCCTTCTTCCATTCCTGCCTGCTGCTTCCTTTACTTCCTGTTAGGTATTCCATTTACTTCTTGCTTTGCTCCATTTGCTTTCCGTTTTCCTCTTCTGACCGTGAGACTTCTTCTTTCACGTTCCTTCTTATACTACTTATATCGTTCGTATAAGTAGCGCACACCACAATATGACTCCATGTTTTGTATACAATCGAGAATTTAAAAGTTAGCGGAGAAACGTTTTAGTTTAGTTGAATGATTGTCAAGGAGTTTTTCGTTCTTTGAGCTGAGTATGTTTTGAAAATACTTCACTTCCTCTACCTGAAGTTTATGCTGATGCTCTGTGTTCAGAAGAACACTGAACAGCTCCACAACGGGAAAGAAATCCAGCTCAAAGAACGAAACTTCACCAAGAACAGTTGAAAATGTACTGCGAATTCAATGGCTTATAACTATTTGATAACCCTAATCTAAACTGATTAGTTTATTTTCACTGTTAAATAAGACACTTGTATAAAATCAACTGTCTAAATGAAGAAACATGCGAATTATGGTATATACTAAGATCAGCAGTCAATGATTGTTAGATCATTACTAGGAATTTGGAAGCACTAGACGGTCGTTTCTTCCTGGTACGGAGACTCATCAGTGGCAGAGCGCATACACACGCAGGATTCGAACCCAAGGCCTTCGGCCATTTGTGACAACGCCTAACACTCTGGACCACTGGACCGTCAATCAAGGGTGTTGAAAAAACGCACCAATATCCATAACTCTAATTGAACGATTATGGTATAATCTACTTCCCTAGACACTTCTTTGTAATTTCTAATAATCCAAAAAGAGGGAATTTAACCACTGTCGAAAAAACCACCAACAAACTTCATGATGTCGTCATCATCGATGACAAACTACTGTAGCAAAAAAAGTCAAAAACCAGTTCGATTGTTACATTTCTTTGTTTACGCTTCCCTCTCTCCTCGCGTTCATTTTTTCTTAATAAACGATCTGATTAAAATTTGTCAAGTAGACATGCATTTTTCGAGAGAAATGATTGTTATCCTACATTGGGTTTTTTTCCTGATTGTATTCCTAAACCTATTACGTAACTTTTATTGCATAGTTGAAAAAAATATGAAAGATAAAATCAAACGAGTCGATTAACTTTTAGAGAATTGTATGCCAATGACGTAAAATACTTTTGTTTAGAAGCATGGATTATCATGGGGAAACCATAATAACAATTTACTAGGCAAAATCGGATTAAGTGATTTGTTTATCAGAGTTGTAGAGATTAGTGTTTTTACGAATTTGAAATCGTCAATCAATCGTTGTTAGACCATCATTAGAAACCTGGAAGCACTGGAAGATGGTCCGTTTTATCCTGTATGGGACCAGTCATCAGGTTAGGGCGTTCGTGAACAAGATCGAAGGTCCCGGGTTCGAATCCTGTGAGGTGCAGGAGTTTTGGATGCGCACTGCCACCAGATGAGTCCCATACGAGGCAGGAACAAACGGCCGTCCAGGGCTTACCGGGTTTCTAATGGTGCTCAAACAATGATTGATTGATTGATTTCAAATGTGTAAAGTCATTTGTATTTGGTTTTTTTCAATCTCCTCAATTAATATCTAGGACTGTGAGTCATCACAAACTCTGTCAATAATGCTTGTAATCTAAAAAGGTTATTTTTCATTGAGATTGTTCAGGAGATGGTAGTTTGTCTTAAATTATGAATCAATCATGTGAGGCCACCATTAGAAGTAACACCTGGAAGCATTGCACGGCTGTATCGTCCTGGTAGGGGACTAACTCATCAGCAGTGTGCATCAAACGACTCCTGCATTAATTAACAAAGACAAAGAGTAAGGTTGATTGATCAGAGTTAGATAATAACACCGTTGGATGCCGTGGCTCAGCGTTCTTGCTCTCAACATCGAAAGCTCCGGTGTTCGAATCCTGCAGTGGCAGAGGTTGTGGATGTGCATTGCTGATGGATGGTTTTTTGAGTGAATATAAACTCTGAGATGTGGCAGGTACATAGACCTGAAGAGTCCTATTAAAACCAAACTCACATACTATATTCCACTGCTACCCACTCACAATCTCTGCTATGGTTGGGGACCTTTTTGACTTTCATGTTGGAGTGATCTTCCAAAATATTTCCTTTGTATTCGTGATAAAATAAAGGAAATTTCTTGTAATCTCAAAAATTGTCATCAGTCAATGTTAATTCTGAACTTGATGAAGTCAGATATCCATAACGTGCATGTTATACTCCTCAACCCCCTCAACTTGCTACTCCTAGAGACGAGGTAAGAGTGAAATAGAAAATCTATTTAGCTATGAATATATGTACAAATACTCATCTGCAAACTCGACATTTATTAACCATAGTTCATTCTGAAATAATATTGATAATGTCATTTGAATACAAATAGAATTTAAAAAAGGTAGCCTTACAGGAAAGAGATTATCCATGAGGTTACATGTTAAAGGAAACAGCAAAATGAACTTATCAGTGTCATGTTATGACATTTCCTTATTGAAGAAACTTGTTATACAATAACAGGCTTATTAACGAATCCAAACGTCATAGATAACAGTATAAATGAGACCGGGAAATAAATATTTTTGTGTACATTGGAAATAAGTTGTTATCATTATAGGGTTTATGGAGAAATAATAAAATCGGTTCAGTGTGAGAGCACTATTAGAAAACCTGCTAGTGCTGAAACCAAGCATTTCATGCTATTATGTGACTCATCCATGACCACTTTAGGCTGAAATCGAACCCAGAAAACTAAGGTCTCACGTCCCGACCACTGAGCCGGCATCCAATGGCGTTAATGTGTAAATTTATCTATTCATAATATTGCACGACCTCAGCCATTTAGTTCGTTGGGTAACTGCCTTGCATCCACAGGTTTTGAACTCCCCTGGTCATGGCCTCTTCGCTAGAATTCCAAGGATTTCCTCCCGAATCTAGTCACTTTTAAGCGCATAAATTAGCTGCAATCTGCTAAATAAAGTTCTTATTTTGAAAATTCCCATATTATCGATCACAATATACATAGTTATTTACTTTATGCCTGTTACCCACAATGGAGCCCATTAACCTTATACAAGCTGTCTAATCGAACTTTAAACGTCCGAATTATAGCTTACTGACGAAATGGTCATCGAAGTGGTTACTTCAAGTGGTGTCCATCATGGACAGTTATCTTCGTCTGAATTTTTCAGGAGTGGACCTTTACAGAAGACTCACCAGTAGACTTAGAGTATGCCGATGACATAATTCTATTCGCCGAAGACGCTGAAGAAATGCAGAGTCTTCTGACAACCTTAAGCAACAATACAAGCGTATTCGGGATGCAATTCTCCCCGGTCCGAAATGCACAAAATGTTGCTTTAGGACTGGGGTTGAATCGGCACCTGAACTAATGATAGAAAGTGAAGTTAGTTGAGCGTGTAGACCACTTCACTTATTTGGGGAGTCATATCAGTGCCGATGCCCTGGTCACTGACGAAATCTCGGCCAGGATACAGAAAGCTCGATTGGCTTTCGCCAACTTGCGTCACCTAGGGCCTCAGGGAGGGATCGGTTTGCTAACCAAAGGACGAGTGTACTGCCCAGTGGTTCGCTCCATCCTAATTTATGATTGCGAAAAATGGCAAGCAAGGGTAGAAGATATTCAGAGGTTGTTAGTTTTCAATCGTAACTGTCTGCGAAGCATTGCTCGTGTATCATGGGACAACCGAGTATGCAATGCTGTCGTTAGGAAGCGTGTCTTAGGTAAGGGTGGCAGATCAATAGACGAAGTAGTAAAACTGCATCAGTTGAGGTGGTTTGGACATGTGTTACATATGTTCAACAACCGACTGCCTCGTCAAGCTATGTTTTGCGATATAGTAATAGATTGGAAGAAAGCTAGAGGCGGCCCGACCAAAACATGGCAGAAATCCATGAAGTCACTGACAAGTGAACTGATTCATGTTCGAAGATGTCGACTAACTGGTTGAGGCGGCGAGAGATGATAATAATCGATAATTAAGAGACCCCTGAATCACATGACTCAAAACCGTTTGCGATGGCGCCAGTTTGCATATTACTCTTTGTCTTCTATGAAATTCCCACCCTCTGAATTATTCATCACCTTTATCTTTTTCCCTTTTAAGTTTATTTCACTAGATTCTACTTCTGATAATGTCGTCGAACCCTAAAATTTCCGATTTCTGCTAAAACCTTTACTATACGTCTACTACTGTAGGATTTGAACTGACAATTGCAACTGTGTGCTAATGTGTGGTGTTGTGACTTGAACTGATGTACCTAAGTACGAAGTTCTGCGTTCTTGTTGACTGACTGACCTGACTGCATCGGTAGACCGACTAGCATTTTACAACTCACATTGTCCTAAGGCCTTCTTTTCCAGTTCTATTACAATAGCTGTTCATTATTCTCACATCTTGTCTCCTCTATTTCTCGAATTATCATGTGTCTTTTAGTCTTCCTTTTTTTGTTCCGTCGAACCTTGAAAGTTCCAAATGAGGGCTTTGTCTTGTGATGTAAGAATCAAACTGCCCTTTGAGATTTAAAACTTCAATTGGGTCATAGTTTTCTTGCGAAATAAATCACAGCACTACAATTGTTACCAGTAACAACCAACGACAAGATTGATAAATCAATATTTTCATTAATCGTTAAAACAAATCAAAAACTGTGGAAATAAAAAACTGTCCCTAAAACAGAACTCATTAAAAATTCATACAATCATGTAATACTGAAGTGTTGACATGTTAGACCTCCGAGTATAAATTATCGAAAACAAAGAATTAGGGAAAATTTAAACAACTAAATCAGTAGGGAAAATCATGATAAAAATGTCTATAAAAGTTGGGTTTTTTTCAAGGATATGATAAGGATTGCGATGAATTTCTTGTGAAGACTCACGTTATGAGCTCGAATCCCCTCCACCTGAAGTCTATTTGTTGACAAAAAGAGAACCGAAACACTACCATCTACATTCCATCTGAGTTACAAATTTTCTCATCATCTCAATTCTTATATTCTGTTTAGTGTAGGCAATAAGATCGAATCTCATAATGAACAGTGACAGTTATATAATTAAACTGACTCAGAGATTTAGTGCTATCTATTGTATGACCACTTACTTACTTACTTATTTACTTACTTACTTACTTACTCACTCACTTACCTTACTTCTGCACTTACTTACTTACTTACTTACTTACCTACTTACTTACTTACTTACTACAATCCACTTAATTACTTACTTACCTACTTACATACTCACTCACTCACTAAGTTACTTACTTACTTAATTATTTACTTACTTACTTACTTACTTATGCACTTACTTACTTATGCACTTACTCTTTTTACCCCTGAATGAAGGATCGGGCGCTGATCAGCCATTCTCGAACCTACTCTGTCCTGAACCTTCCTTTCCACTTCTAACCAATAGTGTTAATTTCTTCTAATGTCTGTCTCCATTTCTCGACGTAATGTGTTCGTTGGTCCTTGTCTTTACCACTGACCTTGAGAGTTCTAGGTGAGGTCTTGTCTTTTGACGCGATTGAGGGCTTTTGGTATTGTATGTCTTACATGTATTCATTCTTCAACACACAGAGAGTTGGCTCAATTCACCTTCTCCAATTCGCTTCGCTTTGTTTGTACGCTTTCCAATGTATCATATCTTTCTGCAATAGATGAATACATGTTGGTAAATTAATCGGCATCATCGTTTTCGGCTTTCTTACTAACGCTGTCGTATGCATGCGTTTGCATAAGTATGATATACAGAAAGGACAGGAAGATTTATTTCATTGCACAACTCCATCATTCGTCCATACTGGAGCCCAGTCGCGATTGGCCAAAAACTAGCTTCCTAAACAAACTCATAACCAGAAAAAAATACTCAAATCACTTAAACTCTGCCTTGAGATTTGTAGGTCTGCATTTAGAACAATAATGAAGCCTTAGGCCGATGTCCGTTTTGACGACCAAAGCAATACAGTAATTTACATGTATGAAATGTTTGTACGATGTAGGAGATCGGCAGGATCATTCAAGTCTCTGGAAAAATGAGAAGATACAACCTGATAGTACTTGAACTAGATAAAACGCATTGGACACAAAATGAACGAAAAAGATCAACCTCAAGGGAGATGCTTTTGTACTCTAGCTATAAAAAAGAAAATGCCTCGGGATACCAACAAACTCAATGAATTCAAGATAAATCTAAACAGTAAATTCTAGGCCTTTCACGATCTACTCAATGAAGCCGAAACTACCTTCGGAAATAAAGAAGTAATGACTTAAACATATCATGAAGTTTTCGGGTCACAAAAACCACAATCACAGGAACTAGGTCTCTTTTACGTCACCAATAAGGTTCGACCAACGTTGGAGCAGAGGAATAAATAGCATGATTCTACCGCACCTAAATACGAAGTTGTTTAGCGAAGGTTGCGTAATACAATAAACAGATTATAGTAATCCTTACAATAACCAACGTTAATAACCATTCCTTTCCGGACATAAATCAGATTCAACTAACCGAAATAAAATTTGAAAGATTGAACGATTTCAATTATCTGTCCAGTATCAATTAACTATCGAGCTACTGCACTATTTTAAAGTCAATGTGCCTGTCAATCTCTAATTCTTACTTCTCACTATATATTATTCTGTCTCAACGGTTGATCAAACTTTGTTTAAATTGTTATTCTCGTTAAATTGTCAATTTCTGTATCTAGTTTTTCTCTTTTTTTTAAAAACAAACAAACAAGGATTTATCAGTAACCATCACATGTGATCGTACAATTGACGAAGTGGAATTAGTCGCTTCACCAACAGAAGTTAGTCAAGTTGATGTAAGATGTGCAGCTGATAGTCAAGAATGGAAAATATTTCATCATGTCGATGTAAGTGGTGTAATTGTGTACAACTACTATGTTTAGTGTATAAATTGGTTTATTTTTAAACTGATGACACAAGTCAATTTATCCAAGTGTGCTTCAGTATTTTAGATTATGTCAGTTATTCGCTCATAACCTTGAATGTGTTTTATTCTAGACTGTGTATGTATGAACCGTTAGCGTTTTTCTATAAGTAGTTAGTCGTAAATCTCATGACCAGCCAGTCCTACTTAAATGCATGTTCGAGACCGGAAGGACCCCCAGAGTGGTTGCAGGCGGAATTATGTACGTAACTATTACCCTAATTATCACATTTGTTTATCTGATTTGCAGTCTGACAATACCAATGGATGCCGACCCAGTAATCCAGAGGTTAAGCGTTCTCCTGCATGATTGAGGGTTTCGGGTTCGAACCCTGTGAGTGACAGGAGTCACGGCTGATCACTCCCAAACCAGGACGAAAGTGGGGTGAGAAGATCGTAACTAGTCTGAGTTCAGTACTGTCGGGTGTGGGCAGTCAGTATCGAAGACGATATGGGTGAGGTCGCACAAAATCCCTAGTGTGATCACAGTTAGAGATTAACATCGTTGAATGCTGTCTCAGTGATTCAGAGTTTAAGACTGAAGGTCCCTATGAGTAGCAGGAGTCATGGATGCGCACGGCTGACAAGTCCTATACAAGGAAGAAATGGCCATCAGTTGTTTCTAGGTTTCTAATGGTGGTGATTGATTCATGATTTCAGTAATCAATATTTGATCATACTTTATTCAAAAGAATTGGATCTTCTAACCTTCCTAACACTGATTTTTCATTCTAATTTTAATGTCTCTCTGCATACGCAAGTGCATGATATAAACTCATCCGAATGAATATCTACCTGACTTCCTTTCATTAATGCTGTGACGCCAACGACATTATCCTAAACGTGAAATACATGGAACCATTTTCACCCTACAATTCATCCAAAGAATGCTTTAGAATGTTGTTTTTTAAAAGTCAACTTCCAATAATGTGGTAGGAGGTCGATGAGGTCCATTGAAATCGATGAAAGCTAGACTACTATTAAAAAACTTGGAAGCACTAGACAGCCGTTTCGTCCGCTTTTGAAATCCTCAGCCTTGTTCACAAACAACACTATTACCTTGGATTTAACCTGAGACCTTCGGCGCTAATGTCAATTTCATAAAAATCAAAGATATTTTGAGACCATTTCCCATTGTGTTCGGTAAATGACTGGTCTCACACCCGATACGGTTGAACTATGCTGGTTACGACTTCTCATTAGGACCTCCAAGAATCCCGATGGAACACTAGTCACTCATTAACACATGCTAATGCGATATATAGTTGTAAAAATTGTGGAGTTACGTTGAAATCATGGCCTGATCATCATTCAAAACCTGCAGAGATCTGATACCTCTGAATACCGGCTAAATAGGTCAAGAGAAGTGTTCAAGAGAATTGTTGACGCTCACTGCCAACGAGTCTCATACCTATAATGAAACAATCTTTCAGGAACTTGTCAATTAGTTAGTTTTTTTTCTGAATTCAATGATCTTCTCCTTCTCATTTTTATTGTTTTTTGTCTTTGCTTTTTTTTCGTTCAGATTAAATCAATGGAAATTCAAACCGGTTATAGCCCTGGTACAAGTAAACGTCGTCATCCTGGTCTAGTGTTTACAAGTCGTTCAGCACGTCGTTCGGGTTATTTTCTTGTCAATATGATTTTAATTAGTTGTGTATTATGTTTGCTGTCATTTGCAGCATTCTCTGTACCAGCTAATGAGAATCGATTACAATTATCATTATTATTATTATTAACTACGGTAACATTTAAATTTGCTGCATCACAAAATCTTCCAAAAATATCTTATTTAACATATTTAGTAAGTGTGTACATTATGTTTTTTGGTTTGAAAAATGTTTCATATTGTGTGATTAGCAGAAGTTATGAATGTGCACATTGTGTTCTGTCAAATCCTAATCTTATGGATTCTTCAATGGCTCTCTAGTTTTGACTTTCTAAAGTTATCACATTGAATCATACTTCTTGAATAATAATATCTTCTAATCCTTAGCCTCTCCGATTACTTTGAATACCTTTACTACCTCTTCTACTATAGGATTTGAATTGACAATTATATCTCTGTGCTGATTTGGTATGGCAACATGGACTGATGAACGTACGTACGAAGTTCTACGTTGCATCTGACTGACTGATGTGTCGTCGAGTCCCGTGGTAGGACTAAACGACCATTTTGGTACTAGTAAACGATTCATTTATGCTAACAATGCCTGTGATTTCTATGACGATATTGAGGCGATTCACATAGAATGTATATATTTGTCAAATGAGATTAGTCAGTAATTGATTGGCTTTCTTGATAAACCTCATTCAACGAGCCACCAGTAAATGTTGAGACTGATTATCTAAGTAAATAGCATTGTAGCGTTTGAAGTAAAAGATAACTAGTGTTCAAATTTTGTGGGTCAATATAAACTCTGGGATTTTGTCAAGTACATTTAACTGATGAGTTATTCTAAATATGGACGAAACACATATCCTTTAGTCGACTGCCATCCATTAGCTATTTAGCTTATAATGAAGATATAATTATAGTGTTGCTTCAAGATTGGGTGCATCGGCACCTGAAACTAGTGATTGGAGGGAGTGAAATAGTCGAGCGTGTTGGACCGTCTCATCAGTACTGATTGGCCTGGTGACTGACGAAATCTCAGCACGGATACAGAAAACTCAACTGGCTTTTGTCAACTTGCCTCAATTATGGCATAGGCGGGAATATCCATTTGCTGACTAACGGATAAGTCTACTGTGCAGCAGGTTCGCTCCGTCCTACTATATGGCTGTGAAATATTGCAGTTAAGAGTAGAGGAGCTTTCGTAGGTTACTAGTATTCGATCATAGGATGTCTTCGAAGCATTGCTCGTATATCCTGGGACAACCGTATAAGGCAATGCTGTCGTTAGGAAACGAGTACTAGGTAAAGGGATGGCAGTTCAATAGATGAAGTAGTGAAAGTTCATCAGTTGAGGTGATTGCGACATGTGTTACGTATGCCCGGCCACCGACTGTCGTGACGAGCAATTGTTTTGTGGTGTAAGAACAGGTTAGAAGAAAAGCTAGGGGCGGCCAAACCTAAACGTGAGAAGAAATACATGAATTCACTGACAAGTGGACTGAGTCATGCTGGTAGATCCAGGCTACCTGCTTGTGGTCGCCCCCGGAGATGAAAGTCACCAACGGTTACAGACCTTCAACGGCATGTCTCAAAACCGTTTTCAATGGCGCAAGTACATTCATTCATTTTGTTCTCCCGAATTCTAATCTCCTGAATTCCTCATCATGTCTATCCTTTCTTTCTAAAGTTGTCTCACTGAACTATACTTCTTGATTAATATGTTCGAACCCTAATCTTCTTCATTACTGCTAATACTTCTACTATCTCTACCATTATTGGATTTGAACTGACAGTTTCGTCTCTGTGCTGATGTGGTATGGCGACCTGAACTTATGTACGTTGTGACTGACTGACTGAAATTATATTGTGAATTGACAGTGGCTAAGAAAATATCCAAAAAATATTTTGATTTTCAAACTTCTTGACAAAATGTATTTACAACCTGTTGAAGAATGTCTCCATGAAGTTTACGATACGCTTTTTATTGCAGTAGTAAATTTTGAAAGTTAATTGTTTTTGTCTCAGACTCTTGTTCGTTATGATAGGAATTTATTCACAAGTTCTAAAACTCCGTTTTATTTCGACTTATTAGTTGTCATCTGGTTAGTGATGATTGAACCGTTTTTAGTGGATAGTTTGGTTGTGGAGCTTTCATCATTTTTCCTCCTCTGAACACAACATCATCAGCACGGATTTCAAGTAGAAGAATTAAAGTATTCAAATTTTTCCACGTATGAAACTCGTAGCTTGTCCTGTTGACTTCTAACTTGATTAGTTGTTATCGACCTTCAATCTATGACACTGTCTGTCATGTTACTTTGATTGTATCCTCATTCTCATTCTCAAAGGGAAGTTAGTTACTGACAAAGTCCATATATTTATATATATATATTGGAAGACAGGATAGGGGAACATATTCCAAAATGGTTAATCAAATCCATGATTCATCCACCACCTAACCCATCATCTGAAAATCGATCAAGAAACCCAGCTTCGTCCATTGCAAAACATCTAATGATGATGAGTGGTCATCAAATTGACTCGAAATCAGCCTTTAGAGTTGTGACATGTCATCGAAACCCACCCACACACACACACTCAAACTACTTGAAGCTATATTGATTGATCGGAAAAGTCCAACTTTATGTGTTCAAAAACAACTAACTGTATGTTGACCTTTGTTTACCACCATGGTTCTAGTGAGTCAAATGTCATGCTAAATAAGAAATTGTGACCTTATCTTCAAAACTGCTGTATTTACACACGAATAACATGTTGCTTGTATGTGTGACTGACGAGAAAGCACGAAATGGTACTTACTATCTCACAAAATATGTCTTCTTATTTCTTCTCTATCCAAATTTATCAAAGGGAACCACTGTTTTGAAAGTCCATATATGTCACTTACAAACTGATTCACTAGATGTCAACTTACTTACTTATTTATTTACCCACGCATGTCACCAGCATTCTCCGACTTACTCTGTCCTGAATCCTTTTTTCAGTTCTATCCAACTGTTAGTCATCATTCACCTATCTATCTCCATTTCTCATAGCAATGTCTTTTTTTGGCCTTCCTATTTTCCGTTGGGCTTGGGGGATTCCAGATGAGGGTTGGGTGCTTTCATCAATGTGTGATCTATTAACCTTCGGTGCTCCTTCCTGGTATCTCGTTCCCACTGGAATCTGGTTTGTTCTTTCCCATAGAAGGTTGTTCCTGGTCGTATCTGGCTAACGGACACGCAGTATCTCGAGTAGACAGCTGCTGATAAACACTTCCAGATGATGTCTTTCGTTGTTCTCCAAGTAGAACTGTACTGACGTTTGCATTAAAAATTATGACTTTGATGTTGGTTGATAGGTGTTTCGAATTCCACTAGAATATCAACACATTAGTCTAATGAGTAAGCATTCTTGGATAACTCCGGATTTCAGAAGGAGTTACAATCAAAATATAGGTGCAAACAACGACAGGTTTAAGGTTAATCAAGATTGAGTTCAACAGGACAAGCTACGAGTTTCATACGTGGAGAAATTCGAATACTTCACTTCTTCCAGCTGAACTTTGTGCTGATGATGTTGAAGAACAATGAAAGCTCCACAATCAAAACATCCACCTCAGTGAACAAAACTCAACCATAATCATCTCTCTACCTTAGTTATAAATTTTCTCCACAGCCTCAAACTATCAACCATTTACAAACAGTGTACATGTATGTACATTGTCGACCAAGCCTAGATTAGAACATAACAGCTGTTGATTACTTTCAATTTCTTGTTTTAATTAACCAAAAAATTTATTGATTTTTCTCACTACTAAATTTAGAAAAACAATCATTTCTAATTATATTTATTTTCTGTAATTAATAATTTAAGCATTTAAAAAGTTTTGATAGAGTAAAACAAGAAACTAGCTAACACATTCAACTCTTTGTG